TGGGACATTTCATTACTTCTCAATTTATTAGAGTCTTAGGAAGACAATGAGACACTATCCTTAAAAAAATATATCTTTTAAACTCACAGTTTTACTATGGTTGGTATAGTTTATTTGCCTAATGGTATTTGTTTCAAAGTTCATAGGAGTACTAAAACAAGGATTCAATCTGTCTTCTATCCTTCCTGAACTCAAAACAGAACCTTTCAGAAATCCTGACTTTTCTCAAATTCTCATTTCTTTTCAGAAAACATTTTTTCCTAAGCTAGATGGCTTAGATTCACTATGTCTATGGCAGGTATTGACACCTCTAATTTCGGAGTTCACTCCTCTAGGAGTGCTATGTCAACTAAAGTTTTTGAAGCTGGAAATTATTTGGGTGACACACTTAAAGCAGCCAATAGGTCTTCAGCTTCAACTTTTAAAATGTTTATTTTAACCCTGAAATGCTTGTATCTTCAGTGATTCTGTAATTGTTTCTGATAATATATTTTGTCAGTTTTTAACATGCTTAAGCTGAGCCTTTGTTGACAGAAAATATAGATTTTATTAAAGACAGGAGGTGAATATTATCCCATCCGTATAACCCCCCTTTTCATTTGATCTTGTAATTTCCGCATGAATGTTTTCTTCATCCTGATGTTTGTTATGGGTTGGTTATTCGTATATCTCCCTGAATGTGTGCAGCACAAAACAGGAAGATCAGTTAGCGGTCATCTCTTTTAGAGACTGTGATTCATGTTGATTGGTTACTGAATGTTCTAAATTTGCAGATCAAGTTTTATTGCCTTTTTGTGTTATAGTACATTTTGCTAAAAAGGGAGAAAGATTGCATCACACTCATCTTGACAAAGCCTGTTCATATGGGCGAAACGCGTTGAAGTGGTGGTTGTAAGGAACAAGAAGACTGAACTTGTTAGTGTCTTGATGAGATTGCAGCTCCAACCTCTGAAAACAGTTACTGGTGGACAGTGTGCTGTGTGGAGGAGAACGGTAAAGACATCTGACCCATTTCACCTAAACTGCTATTTTGTGAGCTTAGCAGTAAGTCTCATTTTTTTGTGTAAGAATTTTATTTAGTGGTTTATATTTGTTGAATACATTTACAGTATCACACTATGCATTGTATTGTATTTTTTTTTTTTTTTAAGGTAACATCTTGTGGCATTCTGGAGTGGATACAAAGTAATTGCATATCTGGATACAAAATTACATATATTTATTGAAAGCAGAATACAGCAAGAGACTGGTAACAAAAGAGCTGGTCGTTTTTATCTTTGCCTTTCTAACAGTGGCTCTTTTAACAGTTACAGGTTTAACACAGAATATTTTTGAATTTATTCAATAAGTGTTGGATTCATATGTGTATTTTAATATATATGTTGTGCTGGCTTTTTCTCTAATTTTTATCGTATTAGTTTTCTTTGTTTAATTATTGGGATAATCTTTATATGCTTCAGCTGCTTTTTACATATTTGTCTTAAGATTACTTTTAGGACTTTTTGCACTTTCAAATTTTTTCAATATTTATTTATGCTGGTAAATGTGTAATTGGTGGATGAAAAAAAATAATAAATTTTTGTAGTTTCCCGTCTTCCTGCCCTTTCCCAGTCTTACAATATTGCACTACTTGTAGTTGATGTGTAAATGTATTACTGATTATGTGTTGCATATATACATATCCCATACATATCTATTTGGATATGTCATTATCCTTTATTAAATGAAGGGATGTTGCTCCATCCCTTCATTTATTTCATACTTATGCATTTTTAGTATTGGTTATTTTTTATTCAGTAATATAAATTTTTTCTTTGATTTATGAGCCTCTCCTGTCGCTTAGTCCAGGTTTATTAGACTCACGTCGATCTCTGTTGGCTGTGAGTATGTATTTAGTTTGGCCCTAGCCATCTTCGGTCGGCGACTCCACCTTTGGTAGTCAAGTGTATAGATGCCTGGTTGGCAGTAAGGAAGGCTCCATTTTTTGACTATATATGGAGTTCCTGTGCAAAGTTCTGGTTTCCTGTTCTGGTTTTCATTTGTAAAGTTCTGGTTTCCAATGGGTTGCTGGAGGGATATCTGAAAATATGAAGCAATTTGTTTCTTAATTGATTGATTGTATATATGTTTTTTACTAATTGTGTTAATATTCAAAGTTTACACCCTTTAAATAGGGAATTAATTCAATGTGGTGACAGCTTGACAAAGGCCTCAGTGTAGGCCAAAACTTTGCACATTCATGGTTTCAATAAATCGCCCTTTTTGAAGAAACCTTGAGTGGCTGGACCTACTTTCTACTAGTGTTTAATATTGTGGCTGATCAGTGTATGTGTACTGTTAAAACAAGTATGCAGGGAGAGGCGGAGACCCACCGTCAAGCTGAGCGGACGCAACTAGCATGAGCTCCAGGTGAAGCTCTCTTAATTAAGCAGTAATACCGGCATATACAATGTGAAACTGACACTAACTGTAGCGGAGACACTCTGCATTACCTCAAGGCACATTTGGAGGTGTTTCGCTGCTCGGCTGGTGGTGTAACCCTGACACTTCACTGCAGCCTTCGCGTGGGTACAGAGGGGGAGAGGTGGCTGATCTCCCCGCTGATATTCCGGCTGGAGCGAGTGGAGGCAGTAGGGGAGTAGGGGTTCCCTCCCCCCTGCTGGTGAGGGTTATCCTGGCACCTGCTCACTAGCTATTGCAACTCTACTGCGGAAAGGCCTGCAACCTTATAGGCAGCCACTACACGAGACAAACTACCACGATCCAAGATGGCGGGCGCAATATCCCCTGCTACAAGACCTGATGGAGTCAATTGAGGTGCGGCTGGATAGGATTTTCACTGCTTTCTGGAAGAGATTGGAGAGCACAGAAACCCGACCTAAGGAACAGAGACTGAGCAATACACCTCATGTTACCCTGCATACCAAGTTGGGCCTGACTCAGTGGACTAAATCCACACAACAACAACTCCTGCAACACAAGAGTATGCTGTCCCAACCTCAATGTGCCTGCCAAGACACCAGGGTGACCATTACCCGCCACCACACTTTCCACAAGGGGACATACCCCAAAGCTTCTCCCACACGAACCGAGAACATATACTTGACCAAACACTGCATCACGCTCCTCTCAAGTCATTGCTACCAGAAATTTGCAGCTGGGCTCTTATCAAAGGGGCTCTGTCTGGCTGGGGGGGCCGGTGGGCAAGCACGGGCATTGCAAACTCTCTGCATGTTAGACTGCGCATATGGAGTTAGTCACAGCTCACACTAACCCTACTCCATAGCACCCCATAATTATTACTGGCCTGCTTGGGTCACAGATGACCACCACAGTTTTGTTTATGTTTTGTTTATTTTTCTAATGCTTGTATGATGTTAGGTCTGCTAAAGACTATTGCAGCAGCATGGTCCCTAATGTCCAGAGTTAAATGATCTAGTTAAAATTATTCTCTTGTCACCTCCTAGTTTCTATATAGGAGTATCATAAAGCAATAATGTCATAGGCTAGCAGCACTGGTGTGTTGACCTAACTAAGCCACTGAGCTCACATTAAATATGGATTCATGACGAAGATTAAAACTCCTTATTAAGTTATATCGCTTGTTTTTGTTATATCTCTTGTGTCGCTCATGAGGACATAGTTTAAATAAAACATAAAAAACTGCAATTCTCTTCACATGTCCTGTTATGCATACACAAATGTACCTATCGCATTGATTATTGCTGATATGTCTGAATAAGCTTGTTTGTCAATCACTTCACTACGAAAATAAAGAATAAAAAAATAAAAAAATAGGTATGCAGGGAAAAAGCAGGTGGTAACTAACAAGTCAGTCTAACAGCCATGTAGTTGTTCGTATTATTGCTACAAAATGTAACTCGTCAAAGACTGGTTCTTGTTATAACAATATGGTAAAGGGAACCTTTCTTTTACATTTAGCATTTGCAGGGCTAAATAGTCACTTACGGTAAATACTATTATTGATGTTCAGAGACATTCTCACATAGGCCAACTAGGTTTAAGCCTAGGACAGCAAGGTAGAGAGTCTGGCATTGACACTTGTGGAACTCTCCCCAACCCTTCTTATTAACATTTTAATCAGATAACAGGCAGTTCGGCTTGTCAACCAGTAGCTCACCAGTGACAGCAGGAAGAGGTTGTGCAAAGACCGGATGTCCTTTTCAAGTGACACAAAAGGGTTGTGGCAGCTGAATGAGAATTCTAGTGAGTATGTGAATGTAGACAATTGCTGATAGAATGAGTGTAGCTATTTAATAATACATGGGTGAATGGCTACTAGTTAGGATAACTATTTATGGCTAATCAAATATATAACTGTGCAATTCGGTATATTTTTGTGTTTATATAATTATGTTGTGATAGAAAATGTGGCAAATGGAGCTAGATAACATTTTGTTTAATTTAACATCAGCGGTGGATCATATCTGCATAATGGCTATCTGAGAACTGTGTTGCCCCTAAAGGCCTGCTACGCTTCATGGATTTGAAGTTATTCTTGTTGACATCACTGCCCAAGGTTGCATTCACAGGAACATCTCAATGGATACTAAATATAAGGTAACACCTTATCCTGACTGATACCAGCATTGTAAATAATTATTTCAGGTTTTCTCTTTATGATAGGGTGGAACCTATTGTTGGGGATAAAATCAGCCCTGGCCCTTTGTGGATGATGGATATTTGCCAACTCATACAGAGCTCTGGAAATTGGAAATGAATAGCAGAGACATGTTCAATAACCAATTCCAGAGCTCTGTATGAGTTGGCAAATATCCATCATCCACAAAGGGCCTGGGCTGATTTTATCCCCAACAAACTGGTGTCAGAAGTTTGGGTGCAATTGGGAACACAGAATACAGGTAAGAGGATCTTTAGCCCCTTGGGGACACAACTTCTGGAATAGAAGGGAATCATGACGGAGTATTTCTGTCGTGTGTCCTTAAGGGGTTGGGGACCTTTGCCTGCTTTTGCCATCCTCCCACACATTGCATTTCTTGTTTTAATGGGGTTTTTCACTATTTACATTTTTAAAGGGGATTTTCACAGGATAATGTCTTTGGTAGACATGGTATTTTGTTAAGTCTTTGGTATACTTCTATTACTCCACGGGTTGGAGGATTGCCTTTGGTAGGCAGTAGTAGTTATGTGCACATTTCCTCTTTGGTAAGAGGTTCACCTTTGGCCAGGTGTTAAAAAGAATTTCAAGCCTTTGGTAGGCTGTGATGTCCTGTGATGTACATTTACATATGGGAGATGTCCCTAGATCCCTCTTTGGTAGAGGTTGCCTTTGGTAGGTTGTAAAACAGATTTCCAGTCTTTGGTGGACTGTGGTATTTATTTAACGTAGATGTAAATTTTGCAGGCTAAAATGGTTTAAAAAAAAAAAAAAAGATGATGGATGTTTGGCATTACTCCGGCTTGCTAATTTATGTGCTATTTTATGGTGTGCAACGCTGATTTTAAGCATAAAGTCT